TCTGACAGGGTTCTAAAACCAGTGATTAAGTTTTGTCTTCTATATATATGTGTTCACATTTCTGGCCTTCCTGGACCCTGAGACCACCTCATTTTGACATCTTGGAGTGTTTCTCCTGTCACTCATTTACATTATCACTGCTAGCTCAGATGGAGAAAATTAGCAACCTATAAAAATATTCTCTATCTCTTATTAATTTTTTAACTATCTGATTAAACTTATTATCTTGATATTAAGATAGTGCACATGGTTTGACTGAGCAAATGGGATGGGTAAAGCTTGTGAAAGAACCAAGCCTTTGGCTAGAGATTACTACATCCATCCTTAGAAAAGGAAAAGAAAAGAACATAAAAATAAATGGTTAGTTCAAAGTTCAAATTTGTATTTTATGGATGTAAAACATCCAGGTTGCTACACAACTACCATGGTTTTCAGTCATGTTCAAACAATGGTTCTTTGTAGGTTCCTTAACAGCACTGTGCCAGCCTTCAGGAGAAGCCAGGCTCATAGAAGGTTGTTCCTTTAGAAGAAAGAAATCCTAATGATCTATACAACTTCCTGAATTTGTGTTTTTTCACAAAAAGCCTTATAACTTCAGTGACTCTACCAAAATAATGTAATTATGCTTGATTTTGTAAGGTATACAACAATGATCTATTTTCTGTTGGTTTTTCAATAACATTTTAAGTACAGGAAAAAAAGATGGTTCACATGAATATACATTTATGTGATTTCTCTTGAGAAATTTGAAACTCTTTCCTCAACATAGATAATGGTATCTAAGAAATAGCCACCATCTTACCTGGTGCACAGCCCTCTCAATTTGTCCCAATCCCCACCACTCCCTTTTGTATGGCATTCTGTTTTCAGCGTTATTGCATCTTGCTTTTTTAGCTTTCAGTTTATGATTCTTAGCTAAGTTCATTCTTTTTTTTTATGATTTTATACAAGTTAAGCTCTTAGAAAGTGATCTTATTCCTCTATTTCTACATTTTTGGGAAGAACATTATTATAACTGTCCTATACCTTTTCCAAATAAACATGCTTAGAAAGTTATAAAAGACTAGAAAAAATGAAACCTATTAATATTACTAATTTCACTTTTAAAAATAGAAATTAGTATTGGTAGAAAAATGACTGTGAAGTAAATCATCCTACTTTCCTAGGAAATAAAAAGAACCATCTTGACTAGGTTTCTGAACATGCTGTGCACCATCAAACAGTAGGTCACCTTTCTGGAATAAAATCATCCCTTCTTTTCTGTGGGTACTGCCCATTTTATCACTAGCCAAGTCTCAATTCTTGTGTTTATATAAACAAATGAAGCATAATCTTTTGACAAGTTAAAGGGGAAAAGTTAGACTGTGAGATTTTTAAACCTCTTGTTTTTCTCAAAAAGTAGGAAAATGCCTTTATAATTATTTTCTAGCATTTGACACAATTCTCTTCTGTACTGCCAGATTAGACATTTTCAAGATAAAGAACTGAATTAAGCCTTTCAAAATCTAATATGTTACCATTAGGCAGAAATTGGAAGCATTGTATCCCTTGTAGCTTTGGGAATAGGTGTGGGTTTTTCAAGTCCCCCTGGAAGAAGATTATAGATCTGAGAGAAGGATAAAGAGTAAATGTCAGGCTCACACAGTGAACCTAGGACATAATCCTTTTGTATTTATAACTAGTTTCAACAAAGTGCTACCACATGGTTAGAAGAGTGGGCTTTCTTTCTCTTTCTTTTTAGGTTTTCTAATTTCAAGAAAAATTTGAATTCTCACATAGAAATACAGGCAAATCAGGACCAAATCCCAGCTCTGTCATTTCTTAGCTATATGATGATAATTGGGGTATAAAAATAGCATAGTGAAGTACATTAAAAATTGCTTAAAAATGGAAGGAGGATAAGAAAGAGCAATAGAGAGGGTGAATATAATCAAAGTACATTATATGCATATATGGAAATATCAAAATCAAACCCATTTGTACAGTTAATACACAGTAACTTTTTAAATGGTGAATTGTTAGCAACAACAAAAAATACAGCATTTGAACCCTGCTATGGAACTTAAGATATGTATCTGAGAGTTTTCTATAACAGACTCTCTAAAATGCTTCAGTGGTAACTCAGTGGTTTTTCTTCCTAGTTGCAAAATGTTAACTGTGTCATTTTTTTTTCAGAAAAAGCTCATATTAGTTAGGATGAGTAAAGTTAGCTCCTATAATACACAACCCCCAAACGTGGCATTGAGTAGAACCAAATCACGCAGTTTTCCATATTGTTCATATTTTCATATTGTCCATATTACTCATATGGATAGATAAGTTCCTCCATCCTGTGGTCCCATCTTCTGAATACCCAGAGTCTTCTCTATTCATCCAGGAAAAGCAGAAATGGAGCTCAGGGAAGATACATCTATTTCTTGGTTCTTCATTCCAAAAATAACATATCACTTCTGCTTACTTTCCATTGACCAAAATGTGAATCATAGCCACATCTAATTACAGTAAATGCTGGGAAATGTAATCTAACTATGCCTAAGAGGATCAGAAATGGCTTTAATAAATGCATAGAAGTCTGATACTAATTTATTTTAGATTGACAATAATTGTTCTATTTAAGAAAATGATTAAATAGAATGTGACCTGCAGAACATACTGTGTCATCCACTGTTGTGTCCCCTTTGAGCTGCATAAGATAACCTTCTGAATTGTGGATGATTCTCACCCAAGAGTATCCTTGCACAGCAGTCCCCCTTGGCTGCAATTTTGCTTTCTGTTATTTCACTTACATGTGGCCAACTGTGGTGCAAAATATTAAATTGAAAATTCCAGAAATAAACAATTAATAAGCTTTACATTATGCACTGTCCTGAATAATATGATGAAATTTCACACAGTCCAACTCCATGTACCCAGGATGTGAAGCATCCAGGCTTTGACCAGCATCTTACATCGGATACGCTACCCACACACACCTGTTAGTCACAAGGTAGCCATCAAAGTTCTGACTGACTGTCAAGTATCACAGTGCTTGTGTTCAAGCAACCTTTTTTTTACTTAGGGATGGTCGTTAATAATGACCCCAAAGATCAAGAGTGATGTTGGCAACTTGTATGTGCCAAAGAAATGCTGTAAAGTGCTTCTTTTAAGTAAAAAAGGTGAAATTCTCTACTTAGTAAAGAACGAAAGAATGTATATGAAGTTGATGGTATCTGTAGTGAAAGCAACAGGGGGAAAGCAGAACGTATCTGGGGTTTAGTACCATATGCCGTTGCAGGCTCTATGAGGGTCTTAATAAGGTCCCAGATAAGGGAAGAGCACTGTATCGGAACACTAATCCTAACCCTCCCTATATTAGAGAGTGAAGAAGACTCAGATTTTCTATTATGTCAACTAATATTGTAAGAGGATTATTTGGAGTGACATTAACACCTCAGCTGAACCTCATTTGTGGGAAGGTTAGATAATTGGGTGAGGTGGAGATGAGGGTAGAAAAAGGGGAAGGAAAAAACATGCCAAACATTTTTTATAAGTAAAGTGAATAAAGTTTTAGATGTTGTAGCTTGAGATTGTCCTATCTAAGATCTGGAAGGGATGTGAAATACAAGTTACTATATCTTCATGCCTTCAGTGTAGTGTGATCAAGTGAAATTTATCTCATTTCTCCATGGCAAAGTGTCTACGTTTGTAAGATAAGGTCAGCCCACTCTAACAGAGAGACCTAATATCATTCAGTGGCATAAAACAAAAACAGAAGTAGCTTGTGTTGTGGTGCATATCTGAGAGGCATAGATTGGGAAGATCACAGTCTGAGACTAGTCTTGGCAAAAAGTGAGAGACCCTATCTGAAAAAATAACTAAAGCAAAAATAGGCTGGGGGCGTGGCTCAAGTGGTAGGGTGCTTACTTCTCAAGCATAAGACTCTGAGTTAAAATCCCTGTACTTCAAAAACTCAACAGAAGGAATTTCTCTTTTATGTGAGTCTGAGGTGAGCATACCAGGCTGGTGGATACCCTGCTCGAAGCGATCACTCAAGGGCTCACGTCATATACCATTTTCTCAATTTTTTTCATCATTTGCATGATCCCACTGGGTCACTTGGGTCCCATCCATCCTAAAATGGATAAAGAATGTGGAGAAAACACCCCCAATTCCCTAAGATATCAACAAGTGAGTAGTAGACATCTCTTTACTTTTGTTCATATTCTATTGGTAAAAACTGTTCTTTCACTACATCTCACTTCAAGAAATACACCTTGGAAAGAGTATAATTGAGCAGCCATGCTCCCAGCAAAAAGAAGGTAGGAAAGGATCTTAGAGAATAATTAGTAGTCTTTCCTACTGAGTCTGTGAAATCAAATAATGGGAATGGTAGTTATAACAGAATCATGGGTTTTTTCCAAGACAAAAAAGAAGCATAAATTTCAAACTTTGATATTATTATTAACTTACCTGACAGTGGTAGATCGAGCATTCAGAGGACATAGCTGTGTGTTCTTCAATCATTTTAATTTCTTATAAGGGCTAAGAAAAGAATATTTTTTATTAAATACAAATACATTAACATATATTTAAATAAGGAAGATTTGGGGAATAAGAAATCACTGCCTGTCAAGTACGTATGAACTGCCAAGTTTTGCTTTTGCTTTTTTTGTCCCTACCTGACCTTCACTTTGCAGAAATAAATTATCAATCAAGAAAGTGTTGGTATCTAAGTTTCCTGTATTCTATGTTTCAGTTTTGTTGGTCTATGTCTGTTCTGCCTCAGCTTGCTAACCAGATTATTTTAATTCTGAGTGAAATCTCTGATCTTTCATTGTGTTTGACTGAAGCTTAATCATTCTCAGGAAATCAAGTTTAGTTAGGAATTGTGATAGTCAAGGATGGATATTTTCAACTGTCCTTCTTTGCAATGGCTTCATTGTTCAATGACATAGTTACTAGTGTTGTTTAACTTTTATCTGAAAATGTCTTTGTCTCTCTCTGCTCTGTCTCTGTTCCAGCGACAGTGTTTCTGGAATTTTGGAAAAGACGTCGAGCAGTAATTGCTTATGATTGGGATTTGATAGATTGGGAAGAAGAGGAGGTTTGTATCATTTACTTCAGTATTTTTTTTAAAAAGCAAATTATCTCAAATCTGTCTTCCCTAATTGAAAAAAAAAAAAGCAAATTACCAAGAAATGCACTCCTTGAGTCATCTCCCATGTATGAGAGAAAAATTTTATCAGAAAAATTTTAATACCTGCCTTTGTAGGACATTTGAAACTGTCTAAAAAGGGTCTGGTAGAAATTTTTTTTGAGGGCCTGGTGATTGAACCCAAGGCGTCACATATGGTGATTGAGTGCTCTGCCATTGAGCTACACCTCCAGCCCCAGAATTCTTAAGACACCATTTTGATTCCTTAGTGATTAAAATTCCATGAGTAGTGAAGCATATTACTTAAGGCACCAGGTTTGGGAGTACAATCTCTTTTAGTTTTCTGAAGCATCATCTATTTTCTTTACTTTAGTAGAAGGAGGTTATTTGTTTTACAGCAAGCCTCCTAAGAGTACTACTACAAGGAAATGTTTCTGTGGGCGCCATAGTATCCAGATATGCACAGGTTCAAAATTACATCACGTGGTAAGTGCTGAGGAGAAATCACTCCTAAATGTCCTCCTCGCTGGATGTGGGTGAATGTAGGGCCAGCGGTAGCAAAGCTGTCAATGAGGAGAAACTCAGACTCTTAGACTTAACCTCTGCACACTCCCCAACCCCTTCCTCCTCTTTTCCTCCTTGCCTCCCCCTTCTCAGCCAGTACACAGTATTCTTTTCTAACCTGGGTCCGGTTCTGGTATCTTTTCTTGCCCTATTCTTGCTGGACTTGGTCACCACTTTCCTCCATTAGCTCTGCTTTCCGTTGATGGTTGGTTCAGGTCGCAACTCTTCTTTCCTTTCCCTCATTATCCCTTACTCTCCTGAGTCCCCATTCATCAGGGCCTGGCTGTCCCTGTGAATCAGATAAACTAAGGAGGTGATGGGTGTAAGGCGATGGGTGTTTCCCTTCATAGAAAGACATTTATATGCATTTTATGTATTTATATATTTATACGCATTTTGCATGTTATATATTAAACTGAAATATAAACAATGAGAACTTCAGCCCCATAATAGTTTTGACAGGGGAGATGATTTTGAGAGGTTTTACGACATGCTTCATAATGACTGCTTTTTCTTCTTACTCCTGTGAATAGGCTGGGGTAGTTTTTTTATTTGGTTTATTTTTCTTTTTGTTTCGTGGTATACAACATGGTGTTTTGATACATGAAACTGGACTTTTCAATAATCTTTGTCCTTCTAATAAGGCCGTCTCTTGTGTTTTTTTAAACATTCTCCAGAAACAAAAAAAAAGATTTTCTGGATCTTTCTGGCAGCTACATGGAATCTGTGGGCAGCAGCCAGGCTGGGTTCAGGACTTCCTTCTGGGTGGGACCATTCTGTGGTTTCTGGTTCTAGGTGTTTATGGGAATACTTCCCAGTGGAGGGAAAATGTTCTTTTCTAGGACTCTGAGTTGCCCCTAAGCAACTACATCATCTCGAACAAATTACTTCATCTTTGCACATTGTTTATCTCTTAAAAAAAAAAAAAAGATGTGATGAAACTTTTCCCTTTCAGCTATAAAGTGTAGCACTATTTAAGTAACCTTGACCAAATCGGTCTAAAAGGCACCATTGGTAGTTATGATGAGTCCAACCTGTGGGGACCCTTAAGGTACACATATCCTGAGTAACTCTGGAACCCCTTGCCCTCCAGTCCTTGTAAAAAGCTTTTCTGAGGCAAGCAGTTCTTTCACTGAGCATACCTTCTCACAGAAGTTTACCTCCAGAGCCACGTGCAGTTCTGTTCTCCGTTTGGGATTCACTGCCTCCAGCTTTTACCCATGCTTCTCAGCCTTCTATTCATACTTGCTGTTCATACTTGCTGTGCCCTACTTAGGTGTGACTCAGCATATTGGTTTACTAAGGCTGTCACAACAAAGGACCCCAGACTGGGCAGGTTGACCATAGAAATGTATTTTCTAATGATTCTGGAGGCTACAAGTCTGAAATCAAGGTATCATCAGTGTTGATTTCTTCTAAGGACCATGAGGGAAGGACCTATTCTATAGCTCTCTCTTTGGCTTATAATTGACCTTCCTTTTCCTGTGTCTTCATATCATCTTCCCTCTGTATGTCCAAATCTCCTTATAAGGACACCAGTCATATTGGATGAGGGCCCATGCTAATGACCTTATTTTAGCTTAATTAATTCTATAAAAACCCTGACTCAATATTGTTACCTTTGAAGGTACTGAGCACTAGGACTTCAACGTACAATTTTGTGGGGGTAGAAGAGGACATAAGTGAGCCCATGACAGCCAGGCCTGGCTCTGTGATTGGCCTCAGTTCTTGGATGACTAGCCCAAGGACTCTTGACAACATTACAGCCTGATAAACTGAGCTTCTCAGTGAAGCAGAAAACTCTAGTTTTCCTCACGTGAAACTGCCTACAATAAGTGAAGGAAGGCAGAGCCTGTTTGTAACTGTATCTCCTTACACAGGACAGCTCTTTCCAAACTGTGCCCTCTCTTCATAACTCATGTTCTGCTGTCTCCTTTCTTTCTCTCAGTACCTTCTTCTGATTCTTGAGCATTTCTGCCTGGATTAAGTCAATCTCCAATTCACCAGTTTCTGCTCATTGTCCATCCTCTTCCAAGGCATTCAAGTAAAACATGTACTCAATTAATCAGAACCACTCCAGTGTGCCCTCTTCCTCATTATCTTTGCCTAATCCCATAATTGACTTTTCAAAGGAAGTGGACAGTGTTCAACAAAATGAAACAAAACCTCAGCTTGATTTAGAATTGGAGGAGCCTTGATTTAAGCTGGGTTTGAAAGGTGTTCACTTTGCTTTCAACAACAATTAAGAATATATATATCTATCAGTGAAAGGTAAATGATTCCTGTAAGAGCTATTAAAAAGTAGGTTCACCATGTTTTTAGTCACCTGAACCCAAAAGTGCCAAAAGAAAGAAAGAAAGAGAAGCAAAACCTAAGAATTATGTTGTCATTACAACTCACAAGATGGATCTCGAACATTTGCCTGTTTAGAACTCTTCTTTGCCCTGTGGTTCGTGTCACTGCCTGGTAATAAAAGTAAAAGCTTATTAGTTGTTCCAAACCACTCGGGTCAGGACAGGCAGTTCCTTTTAAAATATTCTCATTTCTTCAGGCATTGTTCAATAAGATAACAGAAAGTGTGACTGTGGGTGTAAATTACATTGCTCTTGATGACAGTAAATCTTTCCCCCCTACCCTGTGGTACTGGAGTTTGAACTCAGGGCCTGGCATTTCCAATCTCGACCCTCTACCACTTGAGGCACACCCCAGCCATGATGATAAACCTTGATCTCCACCCTGGAGATATTCTTTCTGTGGCCAATTTCCAAACATTTATGCCTGGATCTCCAAGCTCACTTCATCAGTTTGACTGGGCAGTGAGGCAGCTACTGACTCTGTTTTATGGTGGGGTAAAAGGTCATTTTTTTCTTATTCTGCACACAATTCTTCAGTGCATAAAATGTGACGATTTATTCTTTAGGAAGAAATACGACCCCAGTTTGAAGCCAAGTATTCCAAGAAAGAGCGGATGAACCCCATCTCGGGCAAGCCAGAACCCTATCAAGCATTTACAGATAAATGCAGCAGACTCATCGTTTCTGCATCTGGAATATTTTTTATGGTTCGAAACATTTTTAAAACTTCTTTAGCTTTATAAAGTACAAACCCATATTATGGTGATAGCAGTAATCTGATGAGGTAGTTCCAGTTCTATGAAACATTTGTGCCCAGTATGTTATTTAATCCTAACAGCTCCATTTGGTGGTCAGGTGTGTTGTTACCATTCCCATATTACAGATGGACCAACTGAGCAAAAAGTTAAGGAGCTTGCCAGAGTCCTGTGGGAGAGCTCAGACCCTCCAGTCTACTCTCATGATTTTCCCACTTGTTATTACCACTCTGCCCTGCTGAATGGAACTAAAAATGTGAGAGAGAAGATACAGCAGAGTTTTTCAGGCTTTTTACCCTGCCCATATAGTAAGAAATGAATTCTTTGTCATAACTCAGTATATGCTATGCAAATAGAACTATGTATAAACTAAATATAGTTACTAAAGCAATGCTCATCTTTATAATAGTCAATAAGCTCTCATTCTTTTCTGTTTTATTACTTTTTTTTTTTTTTGGCAGTACTGGGGTTTGAACTCAGGGCTTAGGTCTTGCTAGTTAGGTGCTCTACCACTTGAGCCATGGCTCCAGCCTTTTTTACTCTGGTTATTTTGGAGATGGAGTCTTGCTTTTGGCCCAGGCTGGCCTGGACTGTGATCCTCCTACTTTAAGATTCCTGCCATTGCAGGGGTGACAGGTGTGTACCACTATGCCCAGATTTTTTTTTGTTGAGATGGAGTCTCACACTTTCCTGTCCTGGCTTGCTCAGAACTGTGATCCTCCTGGTCTTAGCCTCCTAAGTAGCTAGGATCACAGGTCTGAGTCACTGACATCTGGCTTGCAGTCAGATATAACATTCCAAATTGATTTCCTGACTTACTCGTGGCCATGTCAGCTTGAAAAACACATAACATGGAGCTGAGTTGTTGACTTTTTCTACAAAGAAGTCATTTGAGATCAATTTTGAGTATTAATTACTGAAAAAAACAGATATAAATTTGTCAGAAATGACATCTTAAAATAATAAGGGATGCTTAGGGTCCTCCTTTCCTCTTTTCAAATGATGGTTGTATAAACCCACTCTATGCCCTAGACCTCTAGCGTAGGGAGCACAAGACTATAACAAATCCATACGGCCTGCTCCTTTTGCCGGTGAAGAAACTAGGAAGATGAAAACAAGGCAGATTGTGTAGGGTCCTCGGTTCTCAAGAGTGAAACCCACACCCTTCTATACATGCCACTGTGCAGGCAATTGTGTCATGCTTTGAGTTCTACACACACATTCACATTTATTGTGTTAAACCCACACAAGATCTGGAGACATAAATTAAAATTTCCTGTTCTGCGGGTGGGGAGCTTGGAGCACAGGAGGCTGAAGCCATGGAAAGAACAAGCTTGCCCAAGGTCACTTGGCATAGCTAGGACTCTGCTTTGTCTTCTGACTCCCACCATTAGATTTCACTACAGGATTAAGCAGTTTTTTCCCCTTTGTTATTATTTTGACCAGTTCCAGCTAAGGCTCATACTTGTTTCAGAGAATGTCATCTCTAGAAGTAAGCAGAAAATAATATTTGTGCAAAATAGACTGAAGAAAGGTCAGGAAGAGGTCATCCTGAAGGATGGCTTTATAATCTACTTTTTGAAAATTAAGTGAGCTAAAATCTGTATTCTAAACCATACTAAGGGCATCACCTAATGAAAGTCACAGATTTGGAGTCTCAGTTTCCCATATGTTATGGAGATAGAAAATATGCCACAAATTGTTCTTGAATGCCATGTAATCTTCAGGAAATGATGCTTCAACTCTATGTGTACCTGATTAAAGAGATATCATGAGTCTATGCTATAGTTGGTCCACTCAATAACAAATAACTGAGCATGTGCTATGCACCTGCAATTAATACAAGGTGCTGTAGAAACTGTGGTAAGGAAATAGGTACTGCCCCTACCCTCTGAAGCTTAGTTTCTAGTGAGGGATCTTGACAATAATCAGGCATACAAATTGCCAGAAGTTGTTAGTATCCAAAGAGGTGCCATAAAATAGCAACAACAAAAATGACCTGGAGGGATTGTGAAAAGCTTTAATTCTGAAGTGGTGCTTAAGTTGAGAGGGAAAGAAGGATTACTAGGTGCTGACTTGGCCATGTACACCTGTGTGCACATTTGGCACGAGATGGGTGGGTAGGCATTGCAGTAAAGGGAAATGATTGCGAAGATTGCAGTAAAAGGATCCTTAGTTCATTTGAAGCAATGAGAAAATGTATGGAGTCCCCAGATATCAGGGAGAATGGTGTCCTATGAGGATGCAGGGGTCTTATAGGACATCATAAGTTCTTTGCTTTAATCCTAGGACAATAGGAAAACAAAAAATTGTAAACATAAACATGACAAGATAAGATGTTCACCATAAATATTTGTTAATCTGTTCAATCAAATATTCTGCTTTTCAAAAGCATTATCCTACAGCTTACCCTGATTCTCACTTTCCAAGCAATGTGGTTTTTCTGTCTAGTAACAAGGAAAACCTTAGCAAGAGAAAATATTAACCACAATGAAAAACAGTCATTCCCTTGAGGAAAATTTTGCTTTATGTCCTTTTGTCACCAGAGGGTTTCCAGGAGCATGAATCCCCTTCCTGAAGCGTTCCACCAAGGGGCTCACTGGGTCTTCTCTGTCTTCCCACCAGATCTGTGTGGTGATTGCTGCTGTGTTCGGGATCGTCATTTACCGGGTGGTGACTGTCAGCACTTTCGCTGCCTTTAAATGGGCATTAATCAGGAATAACTCTCAGGTTGCAACCACAGGGACTGCCGTGTGCATCAATTTTTGTATCATTATGTTGCTGAATGTGGTAAGTGAGCTAGAAGGTAACCAACCAAATGGGTTAAAGTAGATGGGCTACAATGATAGTTTTTTTCTGTGGCTGAAAAGATCTGGTCACATAAGCACTGCCTGGCAGCAAAGTGCTAACGTGAAGATGCACTCAAGTCAAGGGCTTAGCCCAGGATTGTCTGCAGTGTAAGATAGGCAAGGCACTTACCCTCTCTGAACCTTACTTTCCTTGTTTATACAGTAACACTGGATTTCCTTTTGGGAAAACTTAGGGAAAGAATATGTTTAGAAGACCCAGCTCAGAACCATCCTCCAGGTTGGCTCCTCTCATCTGGGCTCAATGCAAAAGCCAGATGGAGCATGTGGTTTAGAGGTCAGCCTTTCACCCCTCTGGTGGTCACAAGGTCCAGTGGCTTTCCTCTCCCTCAGAGTAACAGGTCCTATCTTCACAGTGGTCTCTGGGCCATTTCCTACACTACTCTTCCCCTCATCCCAATTCACCTTCTCCAGCCACCTGGGTGTGCCAGGCATGCTTCCATCTCAGGACTTTTTGATTCATGGTAGAATTAACCAAACAGCTAGAGTCTTAAAAGATTCTAGATCCAGGTAGTGTTCAGTGAATTACTGCCTTCTCTACTTTTATCATCTTTTCTTCCAATGTCTATTAAATTTAATTTCAGTCTGGGGGTGGAGCTCAATAGTAGAGTGCTGAATATGCATAAGGCCCTGGATTCAATTCTCCTACTACCACGACTTCTGCTACTACTGTTAATAATAATTAGTTAACTTATACATCTTATTAAGAAACAAATGTCTGTTTTCATTCAGTGGTTCTATAAATATGTGCCTGCCTGTGCATATTGATCAGGTGCCAGTGTAGACAGAGCAATACTTCATTTAGCTGCAATCCACTGATCCAGCAGTCTCTACTTCAAGAGACTTAGCAAAGAAAAGATGAAGTAAACCAAAATGAAGAAGAGGGCATAGAAAGTGGATAAAATACCTAGTTGCTGACATTATAAAACACTTACTACATGCTGAGAGCTAGGTTACTAGGATATTTATATTTTCTACCTAAGAGAGTTTCAGAGTAGCAAAAATGGATGGTGTTGAGCCCACACAATGAGACTAACTTAATTATTTGTAGGAATCCCCTTAGGGTATATTTTCACTTTAGATACAATGTGAACACTGTTGGTGTTCTGAATTCCCAGCCAATATCAAAATAGAATAGCCTAAGATTACTAAGTCAAGAATACTGATGAGAGCAGGAAATGAGAAGTCATAACAAGAGTAAGAAAGAAAATAAAAGGCATCATAAAAACTCCAAAAACAGCATCAGCCAGGATGCTTTTGTGGAAGGGCCAATAGCTTTATCCTCCTTGGCCTCTCTCACAACATCCACATCCCACCACACACACTTACACTCTTCATATACCATGAAGGAAGGTTTGTGAGTTACATTGTGAGGGTGACCAAGTGTGTATTATAGTTTGGAACAGTTTTCATCAGAATACCAAAAAAAATAATTTAAGTACGTAGAAAGCAAATATCAGCATAACAGAGGGCAGACTGATAACTATAATGTAACTTTGAACAATTTAGAAAATCTCCACTGACATCTGAAATTACTTAATTTAAGAGATTTTCATGACCCAGTAATATATATTTTTATAGCTATCTAAATTGTTTTCAGCTACATAGAATTTGACTAGAACAGCCTTTCTTTATTTATTTATTTTTATTATTCATATGTGCATACAATGCTTGGGTCATTTCTCCGCCCTGCACCCACCCCCTCCCTTACCACCCATCCCATCCCCTTTCTCTCCCCTCCACCCCCTCGACACCAGGCAGAAATTGTTTTGCCTTTATCTCTAATTTTGTTGAGTAGAGAATATAAGCAATAATAGGAAGGAACAAGGGTTTTTGCTAGTTGAGATACGGATAGCTATACAAGGAGTTGACTCACATTAATTTCCTGTGCATGCGTGTTACCTTCTAGGTTAATTCTTTTGATCTAACCTTTTCTCTAGTTCCTGTCCCCTTCTCCTATTGGCCTCAGTTGCTTTTAAGGTATCTGCTTTAGTTTCTCTGCGTTGAGGGCAACAAATGCTAGCTAGTTTTTTAGGTGTCTTACCTATCCTCACCCCTCCCTTGTGTGCTCTCGCTTTTATCATGCACTCAAAGTCCAATCCCCTTGTTGTGTTTGCCCTTGATCTAATGTCCACATATGAGGGAGACCATACGATTTTTGGTCTTTTGGGCCAGGCTAACCTCACTCAGAATGATGTTCTCCAATTCCATCCATTTACCAGCAAATGATAACATTTTGTTCTTCTTCATGGCTGCATAAAATTCCATTGTGTATAGATACCACATTTTCTTGCTCCATTCGCAGGACAGCCTTTCAAAATTAAAACAAAACCAACATTTAGACATTAGAAACCAACTATTAATAACTGATTATAAAAACCTTAAGAGATATATTTTTAATTTATATTTATAAAAAAACCCTAATTTTTAAACAATATAATCATATATCTTGTTTCTGACTTTTTGCTAGATTTGTTCATTTCTATCTGAAGAAGCAAATCTATGTGGAATGCCTATTTTCTGGATCCAATGATGTGTATTGACTTTTTTGTAGTATGTTAATTAAAATAAAATGCACTATTTTGTAAAAGTTCTCTGGATCTTAACAAAATCTTATGCTTCTAAATAATTAACTAAACACTTATTTGTTTACATTTCATGCATGACTCAAAAAGTAAATATTTCTAAGATAAGACAGTTTCTTACTTTTTATCATGCTGTCCCAATTCTGTACCATTCACTAGTGACCAAAAAGCATCTCAATATTGTTTGCAAGCTGAATAGAACAACACAAGAGAATACTGAATATTATTACCACCATTTTTATTCAGCCACAGCAATATGAATCAGATATTTCCTTACACTGTAAACAGTGAAAACCTCAATCTTGTTGCCAAAAAATAAAGAAACCAGAAAATGTGACTTACATTAGAATAAGCTTATGTATATTGATTGGGCTTATAAGAACAAGTTGAAAGTCTTTGTAGATAGCACACTTTGGAAATATCCTTAAAATCAAAAGTTTTCTGTTAGTTACAAACTTTAACAATTAGAATTTGCAAAATCTATAACAAAATTAGAAAACAGTTTATAAAATGGCTATAGTAAAATCTTACCTGTGGATAATTACCTTAAGTGTAAATGAATTAACTTCTCCAATTAAAAGACAGAGTAACTGAAATGCTAAAAAAGAATAAGACCTACACTGGGGAGGCTGAGAATTCAAATTCACCCCAGCCCACACAATGAGGACCTTTCTCGAAAGAAAACCCATAAAGAAGAAGACCCAACTGTACGTTGTTTGTAAGAAACTCATTTCACCTCTAAGGACATATAAAGACTGACAGTGAAGGGAGAGAGTAAGACATTTCATGTAAATAGAATCTAAAAGAAAGTTGGAGTAGCCATAGCTACATTGGATAAACTAGAGTTTAAATTAGAAGCGATAAACACAGACAAGGCAAACATTATATAGTGATGAAGGGCTCAATTCAGCAAGAGAAAACAGAAAGAATTTGCTGTGCCAAGTTTGGAAACTAAGATTTTTCTACTGGCCTTATCAGAACCAACCATCATGGTTTCTATCTCATCTGTCTAATGAGCAATCTGGCCTTTTTCTAAACCATTCACATGAGGATCCCTTGCTGGCCATTACCCCTCTGTGTACATACCCTTTCCTGCTGTATCCTGTCCAAAGTCCCACTGTCCTTCTATTTCTACCCTCAATACAGGTACATTTGAGATATCCACTCATGGATCCCCCCCATAGGTCCCTGTATGCTTTATTTTTCAGAAAGTTAATGTCAATCATATTTTGACTTCTGTGCTATTCCATTTTAAAATGTAAATTTTCCTGGTGTTCCTGCCCAGGCAATGATGGCATATCATCAGCTCCTAAGAGCTGTGAGACAAGTGTGCAAACTGAGCCACTTCAACAAGTGGATGCCAAAGTGGAAGAAAAAAGGGATAAACAAGGGATCAAAACTCATACTTCATACAAAAGTTTGTCTCACCAGTCAGATCAAATATTCCTTGATAATCATATAATTAATTTTAATAGTGCATTTCCTTTGTAATATTAAAATCTGTTTGACAAGAGGCCATGAATAGCCAAGGCAATACTTGAACGACGCTGGAGGTATCGCAATACCCAACTTCAAACTATATTACAAAGCAATAACAATAAAAACAGCATGGTACTGGCACAAAAACAGACATGAAGACCAGTGGAACAGAATAGAGGGCCCAGATATGAAGCCACACACTATAACCAACTTGTCTTTGACAAAGGAGCTAAAAACATATGATGGAGAAATAGCAGCCTCTTCAACAAAAACTGCTGGGAAAACTGGATAGCAGTCTGCAAAAAACTGAAACTAAATCCATGTATATCACCCTATACCAATATTAACTCAAAATGGATCAAGGATCTTAATATCAGACCCTAAACTCTAAAGTTGGTACAGGAAAGAGTAGGAAATACCTTGGAATTAATATGTATAGGCAAGGAATTCCACGATGACAGCTAGAGGGAGGAAGCAGAAAGCATGCCTCCTATAGTGAAATCTTGGAGAGACGCTGGAGACACACCTTGCAGGCAAAACCACTGAGAAGAGGCAAAACTTTGACCTCTCCACACCTCCAGCTGGTGCAGAGAATCTCCACTTCACATTAAACGGAGAAACCAGGAAGGCCCCCAGGCCACCAGCCACCCATGCCCAGACAGCTTGGGAAGACGCGGACCAGGTGAGCTTCGCGGTACTGCAGTACTCCCACAGACAACCCTGGGCCAGAACAGCATAGCCCCCTGGACAGACTGACCTCCACCTGGGGAAAAAAGAGAAACTGAGTAGTAAGCAATAAGAACAATAAAGACATGTGGCAAAGAGGGCGGGGTGCCCTGAGCTCCAAAGAGCAGAGGAG